TGGCGGGAGGCCCAGGACCTGGTCCATCCTCCACGGATTTCCCAGGCACATTAGCAGGAGGTTGTCTTGGAAGCACAGTGGCTGGGATCCAAACGAGCACTCCAAGGTGGGATGCTGGTGTTGCCAATGGGCACGCATCTCACTGCGACTCAACACTAGCTCCTAGGACTCTTCAGAAACTATGTAAGTCTAGACAAATGTCCTCTGGTTAACATCTCAGATGCAACATCTAGAAGATGATAATATCAGTGTCTGCTGTATGCCAGCATACCAGAGCACAAACTTGGTAGTGTTTTCAACACATTTCTGTCATTTCACCTCTAAAGTGTAGCATCTTTCCTTTAAACTAATCTCCAAGTTAGCCTCTTCCTTCATACTCTCTGACAACATCCAGCTGAAGCCCTCTGTATTTTACTTGTGACTGGTGACGTGGGCTTTAGTGCCGTAATTTCTAAATTGGTGTCCTTTCATCTCTTCCTCATCTTATCTGTTGCTGCCAGATTAATCTTTGTAAAGTATAACCTCAATCATGTAACACTTCCCAGTAAAGGAAAAAAAAACTCAATTGCTGACAACCACCTTCTGACAAATGACTGAGCGTCTCAGCATTGCATCCAAGATTGGCCACTGATTGTCCTAACACATTCCACAGTGTTTAGTAAGAAGCAGATCAAGAACAAAGGGATTTTTCTACTTTTTTTTTTTAAATGGATGAAATGAACGAAACTAGCTTTCGGATCTTGTTTTCCTCCTCACTGAAGTTGCCCTCTGGCCAAGATCTTACTCAATCTCTCCGCACACTTCTGAGCATGTTCTGCTTCAAGTCTTCCCTCATTCTGCTCTCTGTTTAGAACGATCCAACTGTTAAGGTCCAACTCAGATGCCCCCTCCTCTACTACATCTGCATAAAATCGGAGAGTATTTGTCATATGTGACCTTACTGTGATGTTGCCAAGCTCCCTATGGGATGGGGTGTTGCTAACATCTTACTGATTGGGAGCCACATTACAAAGAAGAGGTGCCTGTGCAAGACCATCATCCACACAGACAATGGTGGACTTCGAATGGGCATCCTTGAAGCCACTCCCGTGTCTTGGTGGTGGTCTCTGGGACAACCTCTGCCCACTCCTGACCCCTACATGTGCATAACTATCACTAGATGCTCCTAAAGTCCACTGATGTGGAATTTAAAAAATACAAAGTTGCTTGCTGCAAAGCTGAAACAGAACCATTCAAGTGTGATTGGCTTTTTACTATCCATTTTAAAGCAATCTATGGATTATTTGTGCCTGCACAAGTCTACACTTTCAATGCTAGGACACACAGGATGAGGCTCAGGATGGTGAAAGCAGCTCGAAAGAAAGGTCCGTAGGGACAGCCCCCAGCAGCCACGTGGGGTAGGGGTCAGTGGGCTTTGCAGAGAAGGCTGCAGGAAGCTGACCCTGCTCCCACCAGCCTCGGGAGGGCTGCTTCCTTCTAGCACCACAGCTCTTGACACAGCTCTAAGTCAGTGAGGCCTGAATCTTGCCTGGGGGCAGTGGCTAAGGACCTTCCCCAGACTTCCCTAAAGGATTTGGAGAGTTGGGAATCAACCCTGGGGCTCCTGTAAACTCCTTGGGCACTGGAGTTGTAAGCTGCTCGTCTTTGTTCTTGGGACCCCAACTCTGCATAATAGGCTTGTCTAAAGGATGAAGTGTCAAGTGAAAACGAGGAACTCCTGTGAAATGCTGAGCGTTGTAATCCACATTAGGATATCACTGAAGTATTGTTTTTTTTTTCCTTTTTCCTGACTGCTTCACTTAAAGTCATCTCCTGGGGAACTCACTGACCAAGGTAATCAAAATTTTTGCTTTCAAGATTGAAGGGAGCTGGTCTGAAACAGTAACTTGGCTACATATGAAACCAACAGCCACAATGTGTTAGGTTAGAAACTGCCAGTACTTAGCGCCTTTGAGACAAACGTATGCTTTGTATTCTTTGTCCCTGTGAAGAATACCAAACACACTTTCAGGCTTTTCCTTTTCTTGTCTGTGATTTATCAGGTCAAACGATCTGGTCTCATTGTGAATAAGGAAACTCTGCTTAAAAGTAAATTTTAGGCTTACATATCACGTTTTGATCTATGTCCGAGCCCAAGTGACAGGTGGCATCTATTCACTTCCCACGATGTGTAACACAATGGGAAGCCATCTGGGACCGGTCAGGCCACACACTGTCCTCCGCTTGGGGCTGCTACCACTGTGATGCATGTTTGGCTGGCACATCCTTCCCTGATGACTCAGTTTCCTTGCACAACGAGAACATTTGATCAGAGCTCTAATCTGACCTTTGCTGTAATGAAGCATTCTTTCACAGATCTTATCTGGAATTAGGAATGATTAACTCCTGGAATGATAAAAATAATTCTTCTTTTTCCTTTTTTTAAACTTTACCCTGTAACGTATTAACGAAACAGCATGATTTTGTAAAATTCACAGATGGGGGATTAATATTTTCTGACCCTTACGTGTGTGTTATGTCCTTTGAATCAGTATGAAAAACAGCTCAACCCCTTGTTCTGATTGATGGACACACCATCTCTGTCTGCTGATCTGTGGGATGGGGGGCACTGAGGAGGCAGCTGATGGTACCAAGGCAAGTGGTGGGCATCGAGGGTACCACCCATCAAGACCTGGAGAGAAGCAGTTTTGTGTTTTTAATTAAAAACATAACTTGTTAAAATGCCTCATTCATTTTTTTTTGTTTTTATAGAATCAAAACGCAGGAATGTTTCTTAAATGGAAAACAGAAACAGTTTAAAATTTTTAAGCAAGTTAAAAAAGCAGCCTAGGAAATGGTGCTTTGTAATTCTGCCAGTTTCAATTTTTGAGTCTTTATGCAACGAGTATCAGGATAACAATATGTAGTTGAGAAGAAAGAGTTCTAAGCACCTGCTTTGCGCACATCTCAGTGTTTGGTTGGCTGATGTGAGGTTAGCTGCTGCTGTTGTAATTGTTTTGATGGATGACAAAAAAGAAAAGCACAAAAGAATCCCAACATTTTAGATTTCCTAAGAAAGTACATATAGAAACAGATCCTAAGAAATGCTATGACAATAGTCCTAATCATTTTTGTCTATTTCCTTTAGTGTCAGAAATAATTGAGTTAAACATAAATGAACAGTAGTTACATGAAATGTTCATAATTTGCTGTGCAGTTTTGTTGAAACAAGTGGCAATTTTTTTCCTCTGGCTACACCCTAGGTTCTGTGGAAAGAACCCAACATCTTATGGTTGCAAAGATTATGAAATATTCAGCTTTACCCATGGGTATTTCCTGACATTTCTTTGGTAAACTGTAGCCTAATAGAAGATATCAGAAATTAGTGCAAGAAATATTCTAAAAAGCTATTGTCACTGCAAAGATGAAAGGCAACTTTGATGATCAAAAAGAAGCTAATAAAAAAAAACCTGAAAATAGTTCCTGAATCCTTCCCTATTGTTCATTTGGGATTTCTTAATTTCCCTACTCTCAATATATTAAGGAATTTTTTTGTGTGAAGTTTTGCCATGAATTGAAGTGATGTCAACAAAGTTTTACCTTAAGTCATATTTTACCACAAACTGGAGAAACCTCCACCCTCCAGAGAGCACCATTTTCGGTTGTCAGAAATTTGTCTTTTTTCCTTCTTTTAGCTATAGAAGTCCTTGGCCAGAGCTGGGACTCGGCTAACCCTCAGCAATGCTCACACATGTCCTGAGCGACGTGCACTGCAGCCTGCTGCATCTGACCAGGCACCTTCACCTGCGACCAAACCTGTTCTGCCTTTGTTTCCTCTGCTCTTTGATTCTCTCTGCCCTGGAAGGGCAATGGCGTTGGCTACTGGACCAGACATCTGCAACAGTGTGCTCATTTCCTGCATTGCTGCTAGCTCTCTCTTTCTCTCTCTCTCTCTTTTTTAAACTAGAACTATAATCCAAAAAGTGGCATAGGATTCAGATAAATTTGGGTGTGGGTTGACCCCTACTGTTTACTGGCTGTGTGATCTTGAATGAGTTACTTTTCTGAGTTTGCTATCTATAATACACTGATGATATGGACTTTCCAAGGTTATTGTATATGTAAGGATTATGTAAGGATTAAGCAGGTTCTATGGCAGGTTCTGAACCTAATGAAAGTTGTAGTGCTTAAAACAATGGTGGCAATGTTATACCAACAGCTGAGGATAATGCATTCATAAAAGGTTTCAATAAGATTCATGGTGTCTGTTGATACACTGTTGACTTTTTACTGGAAATTGTCAAAAGTACCACTCAATCTAATTCACTACAACCAGAAGTGTTGCATGAAAACAATTCTGTCATTTCAAAATAGGTCATTAGCTATTGTCATAGCCAGATTATTCTGATTTACATTACATTAATTTCATTAGCAGAAAGAGGTGAAAATTTAAATTTAAAAGAAAACACAATTTAAGCTTCTAAGTAAAAGAGGGTCCTTAATTTGAAATGATGACAAAGCAGCCGCTGCGTGGCTGCGTACCCACCATCCATTTCTCTTCTTTGACTCATCTGCCTCCCTTTCCTGATTCCAGCAGGTGGACCCTGCTTGATGTCGGCTACTGTTGGTCATCTCGCTCCTCTCTTCCCAATGAGACCTGAAGGGAGGTGGTGGTGGGCTTCTGGGCAGTATCCCTGCTCCTCAGAGGAGATCCTAGAAACCATGACATCACCCTGTCTGCATGTGGATCCGTGCAGGCTGCCTGGTGCTGCGACGAGAATGATACTAGCACAGGAGAGAGAGCCAAGGATACCAGACACCTGGCAGAACAGGAGCCTGTCCGATCTAGAGCCTTCTTATTCTGTGAGATAATAAATTATTTTATTGTCTGTGCCAGCCATGGGTGGGGTGTACTGTTACACGCAACCAAAAGATCCCAGATGAAAAGGGTAATGATGTGTGAGCCCCTTGATCTAGACACAGTAAACAACCAAACAAAAAAGTAGGAAAGGACCACGTACCTGTTCCTGGGACTCCAACTCTCTGTGTTGTAATTTTTTCTCCACACATCGCACCTGATTAGAACGATTTTCTAGTTCATCTTGTAAAACCTAAAACAGTGTAAAAATAAACACAGCAATATAAAAAATTAGCATGTTTGATAAAAAAAAAGTTTTACCACATGAATTGGCATCAAGAAAGTCTTAGATCTCTGGTTTATTGCTGTTGTTCCAAAGACTTCAAGCAAATAAAACCAGACTTCTGTGTGTTAGGCCCAGATGTTTTCTGCTTTAAGAATACCTAGTTAAAAAATTCCAAACTTATAAAACAGACAAATTAGCAGATGTCAATTCATGTTATAAAAATGTCTCTTAAGTTCCCAGCATAGAACCACAAGCATGCAATAAAGTATAAAGCTATTGCCAACTAAAATAGTTCTGTTAGTACAGTTACCAGGCGCATTTACATTCTAAAAAGTGTTGTGAAACACAAGAATTGAAATATCGGACCAACATGAAGTTCTTCAGAATTACAGGAAGGTAGTTTTGGGTGAACTATAGCAACCTTAAAGGGATTTCTCTATTCAGTCAGGGTGGTGTGAAATTTGAGGAATCTGTAAGAAATGGGGATAGAGATGAACTCTCCAGCTGCCAAGGAGCTGCTGGAAGTATAATTTTTGGGTTAATGTGGGAAACGTAAAAACCACCAAGATAAATTATCAGCATTGCTTCAAGTACTATGCTACATGGAGAGGTGATCCAGAAAAACAGGGCCCATCAAAGGATTCAGTGTAACTGCAGAAATAATACATGGAAAGTTCTAGTGAGAAGCATATAGAGGATGTTACCAGCAAAGATACCAAATAAATGCCCAAATAAAATTCATCTGGTCAATAGTATTGAGTTCCAGTTACATGTCATAAACCAAAGTAAGCATTCTAGATATAATACTGAAAGAAAACACGCAAACATTTCCCAAATTCATGATGTGTACCTTATAGTAGGTGGGTGGTAATAAACAATAAACATAAAACATATTGGTGATAGGTATAAGAGGTGAGAGCAGGGAGGGGCAGCATCCTAGGAGGGGTGGGGAGGCCTTGTAGCTTAGCACATGGTCCCAGAAGGCCATGAGACACAGTAAGTCATACAGAGTCTACCAAGCAGTGACCTGGCCTGTGTGAAGTCCTCAAGAGGCAACCACGGGTCAGTTGGAGAAAGAGCAAGGAAGCTAGAGACGTCGGCCAAGCCACATCAGCTCCTGTGGGGTCTGTTAAGCTACTGGAGGGTGGGAGGCTGGCTTTGCTTTAGTTGCTACCTATAAAACAGGCTGAAGAGGGGTGAAACAGGAGCAGGGAGGCAGGTTAGAGGCCCTCACAACACACTGGGAAGGCGATGGAGAACTAGACCAGGGTAGAAGTGGTTGATACTCCCTCCCCCTGCACCGCCCCCCAAAAAGGGAGGCCCCCCAAAAAGGGAGGCCCCAAGGAGTTGAGCCGGAGCAGCTAGAAGACTGCAGGTGGCATTCACATGGTGCAAGTATTGGGCACAGGGTGATGGGAACCAAAGCTTATAAACAGTGGTTCTTAATCTTCACTGGGTTCTAGATTCTTCTGGGCATCTGAAGAAAGATGGGTGGTAACTCCTCAGAAGGAACACAAAAACAAAACAAAACAAAATCAAACGTCTAGTCTTGGGATTTTGCCTTTGATTTTAGGGACTTCTGAGATTGGCTAAAACCCTTCCATGGATGGGCCCAAGGCTAAACATTAATTCAGGAAGGAAAATGGTTTAAGAATGAGCTTAAACGCTTTAGAATCTCTTTGAAATGACACTTGATTAAAAATCCACCTACTGTCTGAGTCTGAGCTGGGAGATCTATTGATGCTTTCCTTGTCTATAAAATGTTTTTATCAGCAAATTTTGTTTCTGGCGTGTTGAATACATTGCTCCCATGCTTGTTCATCAAGCAGCATTCTTTGGCCTGTGCTAGCTACCAAAAAATGGAATCTTAGTGATTGCTCTATGGTATAGTCAGGGAGAACAATTATTCCTGTATTGAGAATAAGAATAAATATGGTGTTGTATTTTTCCATCCCTGCCCAGTCCTGCTCTCTAATCCATTCTCATCATCCCTGCACAATGATATTCTTTTTAAAAAGAGATTTATTTTTATTGCAGTCAGGTATACAGAGAGGATGAGAGACAGAGAGGAAGATCTTCCATCTGATGATTCACTCCCCAAGTGAGTACAACAGCTGGTGCTGCACCGATTCGAAGGCAGTAGCCAGGAACTTCCTCCAGGCCTCCCACACGGGTGCAGGGTCCCAGGGCTTTGGGCCGTCCTCGACTGCTTTCCTAGGCCGCAGGCAGGGAGCTGGATGGGAAGTGAAGCGGTTGGGATTAGAACTGGCACCCATATGGGATCCTGGCGCAATCGAGGGGAGGACTTTAGCCACTAGGCCACTGCACCGGGCCCCACAATGATATTTTTATACCTAAATCTGATTATGTCATTTGCTCACTGAAATACTTCGCCAGCACTCCAGCACTCCTGAGGCACTGTGCAAAGTCCTTGGTACTACATCCCAGGACCTTGAACATCCAGCTTGTGCTGCACCTTGCGGAGCAGCAGAAAGCCGTGGTGTGTGGTGCTGATGTCGGTACTGTTAGTAGAAGCAGGAGACAGCATTTGGCTGAGTGGACTGTGTTGGTTAACTAGCACCATAATCGGCGCAGTAGCATCATCAAGTTAATTGTACTAGAGAGGACATACTTGAGGCTTAGGGAGGTGAACAGCTTGCTCAAACCCAGGTGGGCACCGGACTGGTATTTCAACACATGTCTTTAACTTCAAAGTCAATATGCTTGTACTACTCCATGCTGCCTCTTTCTCACGCTGTATCTATTTTCTCTTTCTTTTAGCCTAGGGGAGAAAAGTGTGTGATCTCCTTGACCTATTCCAAGAGCTAAGGCTGACTCCACACGACTTGTACAAACCCTTTGTTTAAGAGGATTAATTTACGTGTCGGTGTGAGTTGGCACTTCAGGGCTCTCTCCATCTTTGCAAGCCTCGTGCCAACTCGGCACCTGGCACACAGGTGACACTGAATTCATGTTGGTGGCAGGAACTCACTTGTATCTGAACTCTACTCCCTGAAGACATTCATGATTCTCATCAGACTTGACAAGTGAGCACATTACTGCTGTAACTGCTGCTTCATTCCCTGAATGTTTACAACATCTGGAGCTGAGCCAGGCCACAGCCGGGAACTCAATTTGGGTCTTTCATATGAAAGCCAAGAGCCAGCTATGTGAGCCATCCTTATCTGCTGGGTCTCGTGTGCCTGTTAGTAGGGAGCTGGAATAAGGTGTAGGGCCTGCATTTGAACCCAAGCCCTCTGTTACGGGATGTGGGTATCCCACTGCACCAAATGCCTACTCCTCAACTGTCCTTCATCTGGCACCTTTAAAGGTGTCATAATATACAAATGCACCTCCAAGCTTCTCTATCACACATATAAACACAGCTATTAGTTTTATCATACTAAATTGTCTGGTCTCTGCCACAACTGGCTTGTCTCTTCCCCCTCACCAGCGGACCTGAGAGTGCTCTTGCTCCACGCTCCATACCTGGACTTCATTTTCTCAGCACCCCAATACACCTCATTCCTTCTTCCCCGATGCCCTTCACTCAATTTTCACCACAGTCATTTGTCACCTTCCAAATGCCCAAGCCAGGGCTGTTTCCCCCTTCTAATTTCCACAGTAGCATTTGGCTCTATTCATGCCCAGAATTTTGAGGTCATAATCCTATGTAGAGAAGTCAAGGGGTTAGGAAATGAGGCTGCTGCAAAAGTCAAGGCCAAGTACAATGAGGCCCTGAAGGAGGTCAGTGAATGTGGAGAAGGAGGTGCTGGGGCAAAGAGTCCATAAGGTTTCGACACCGAGAACCAGAAAGCAGGGAGAAGGCAAGCCAGCAGCAGTGATAATGTGCAGTTAAGGTGCTGGTGGGCCTCCCAGGGGGACCTACTGTCGGAGTCTGGGTGTTTGTGTCCCCCGGAGCTCCTAGGTTGAAATCCTACCCTCAAGGTGATGGTACCAGGTAATGAGACCAGTGGAAGGCGGGGTGGTCAGGAAGGGAACCGGTGTCCTTAGCAAAGAGCTCTGAAAGAGACCCTACTCCTTCCATGTGAGGACATAGCTCAGCCATCTATGAATCAGGAAGCAGGTCCTCGCCTGACGCCAGATCCGCTCGTGATCTGTGGCTGCTGAGGGTTCAGAGGGGAGTACCGGGGGAGCACCGTGTGGGGCAGCACTGCTTGCGGGAGGGTCCAGGGAGCACAGGGGAACAGGATCAGATCAGATCCTTTCTCCAAATTTTCCACAGTGAAGACACCAGTAGGCCTACTATATTTTATCACAATTATCAAAATAGAATTCAAATTACATTCTGCTTCTCTAAAAGGCAGCACTTTAAAAATCTGCTCAGGGCTTATCTGATGATACAAAACAGCCTTTCCAAGGTTAATCAGAGAAATCAGTTATATCTGGAAATTACTTTATTATCTGCTAAAAATCAGTTCCAAATGTTGAAAAGTAATCAAATATTCCACTTTGAAAAGAGTTACCAAGTCATACTCTATGAAAGCAGGACAGTCTACATAGGCGTGCTCTCTGGTTTTCTAGTTTTTAAAAATTATTAGGTTCATTAGAGTCAACCTCAGAATCTGACACAAGGACTATGTGAAGATGACCAAAATTACCCAGTAAGTGGGAACTTTCTTTTTAAATTGCAGTTTCTTTACTCAGAAGCCTTTAAATTTGCCATCTGACACACAGAAACACACACACAGCTTTTAGCTCTTTTTTGTTTTTTTGGAGAAAAGTCCAAGATAACTAAAGAATGCAGTGCGCAACACTGAGTCAAAATATAAAACGAAATCCAACTGGAACAGTAAAACCGTTGGGCACATGACTCCTCACCTCTCTTCTCTGCTGTGTGAACGTGCATCATTGTTGAAAAGACCCATCTCTTCTCCCAAGGAAGCCTTCCTTGACACGCCATGTGAGTTGGCTGTGCCGCAGGAAGCCGTGCCATCCCAGAGTCC